TGTCTTTCTTTAATTGTGGTAAATTTTCTTCCATGATTCTGTTGAAGATCTGGTCCATGCCATTATCTTGGGATTCTTCTCCTTCCTGTATGCCTATGATTCATAAATTAGATCTTTTTATGGTGTCACACAATTCCTGCACATTCCATTCTTGTGATTTCTTAAATTTTTCTTAATCTTTGCTTGTGTGATCTACTTTGTAAACTTTATCTTCCAGTCTTGATACTCTGTTTTCCATTTCGTTCATCCTATTGTTGAGGCTTTCTCCTGTCGTTTCTAATTGGCTTACTGAGAATTTCACTTCCTTCTTCATTTCAGCTTGAGTATTCTATATTTCTAACTCTTTTCTAAATTTATTCAGAAGTTTATCCCTGTCTTCCTTCAGTTCTTTGATTTCTTTTTTTGAGTGTTCTTCAAATTCACTGAATTCTTTTATCATGTTTATAATTGTTCTTTTGAGTTCCATGTCTTGCATTATTTCTAGGGGGTTCTCATTGTACTCCCATACAGTCCTATTGGTATTTGGTGGGGATATGTTATTTTGGTTTTTCATGTTATTATTTTTTTCTCTGTGATTTTGACGTGTGAACTTCTTTTGTAGTTTCTGATTCATGTGGGATACTCAGGCCTTCAAGTTTAGGTCTGCTTCTTTTTTTAGTGAACTTTATGTGTCTTTGTGGTTTACTTTTTGGGCATGAAAAGCTGGTTCGTCTAAGCTTCCAGTCTCTCTTTTGATTTTATATTGTAGTGGCCAGATTGCTTTTGTCTTCAGGATTTCCCACAGAGGCCCAATTCAGTGTGGTCAGATGTTTCAGGCCTTCTCCTGAGGTCTGGATCCCTCCAGGAAAGATTTTGGCCTCAGGAATTTGTGGGTTGGACTAACTCCAGAGCCTGGCCCAGGAAAGATGCTGGACTAGGGCAGATGGTGGCCATGCCACCAACAGATGCAAAGGCTGATGGGGTTTGAAGAGCCCCTAAGGCCTCCTGGGGACTATACTGAGGATCTGGGTTGGTCTGGATGCAAAGGATCAGGAAGAGGAAAGGTTAGTCCCAGTGTCCCAGAAAGAGGCTGGTGGGTTGTGGAGGCCCAGGGATGCAGAGGGAGTTGAGGGCAGGACCTGGCCCAGAAGCAGTGCTCCTGGGGCCCAAGGAAGGCACATTGGTCTGGATGAAAAGAATCAGGGAGCAGCATTGGTTCTCCAGGTGTCTGGGGCCCCAAGATAAGGAATGGAGCAGGGCCCAAACTTGGAAGAGAGAATGGTGGTGGAGATAGGAGGTTGAATGGTGCAGAGGGCACAATGGACTTACCCAGGAGAGAGGCCTACCGGTAGGAGAGTGTCCTGCTGCTTGTCCTGCAGGCCCAGGGAAGCAGAGGGAGGTGAGGGCTGGGCCAAGCTCAGAAGCAGTGCTCCAGGGGCCCGGAGAAGGCACTACAGTAGATGAAAAGGTTCAGGAAGCCTTATAGGTTCCCCCGGTGTCTGGAGCCCCAAGATAAGGATGGGATAGTGCCCAAACTCAGAGAGAACCATGGTAGAGATAGGAGGGTGAATGAGGCTGGGGGAGTCAAGCAGAGGGTTCAGTGGACCTACCCCAGAAATAGGCCTTTGGGTAGGAGAGAGGCCTATGGTGCGAGTCCTGCAGGCCCAGGGAAGCAGAGGGAGTTCAAATACAGATTTTTAATTTTATAACAGATGATTTCTGGCCATGAATGAGTTCATCATCATTAAGTGAAGAGTAGAAAAACCCTTATAATTACTTTCTTAAAATTCCAATGCACTGCATCCAGTCAAAAACCACTAGACATTTGAAAGACAGGAAAATGTCCACTAATTAAGAGGAAATATTTTAAAAGCAAACCTTGCACCAGGGAAATGAATTTTCAAGAGAGAAGTTCAGCAAAAATACCATAAATATATCAAAAATACTTTGAAAATAATGAAGAAAAATATATATCATATAGTGTCCTAGTTTGTTTCTCCACTCCTATGACAAAATACTCTGACCAATGCCAACTTGGGAAGGAAAGGGTTTATTTGGCTTATATCTCCTGGGTCACAGCTCATCAGGGAGCCCAAGGCAGGAACTCGGGGCAGGAACCTGAAGCACAAGCCATGGAGGGATGCTGCTTACTGGCTTGCTCCTGGCCCTCGTTCAGCCTACTTTCTTATACAACATAGGCCCACCTACCCAGGGGTAGCATCACCCACAGTGGGTTGAGCCCTCCCTGGGCCCTCCCACGCCACTCAACAATCAAGAAGATACCCCACAGACAAGGCCACAGGCCAGTCCAATGGAGGCAATTTCCCAATTGAGGCCCCTCAACCAAAGTGTGTCAAGTTGACACTAAAGCTATCCGGCACATATAGGTAATTTCTGGCACTATAATGAAATTATTACTGGATGAGTTTAATAAAGATTGGAGAGGGCAAAAAATGTGAATGATGAACTTGGCAATAGCAATAGAGGTTACACAAACAGCAACAAAGATAAACTTGGCCGAAGAAGTCATTATTTTTTAAGTGACAAATGGTATCAAATATACACTAAAGCTATCCGGCACATATAGGTAATTTCTGGCACTATAATGAAATTATTACTGGATGAGTTTAATAAAGATTGGAGAGGGCAAAAAATGTGAATGATGAACTTGGCAATAGCAATAGAGGTTACACAAACAGCAACAAAGATAAACTTGGCCGAAGAAGTCATTATTTTTTAAGTGACAAATGGTATCAAATATTCTAAATTGATGACACTTTATATGAGAGACAAAAAAAAAAAAAAAAAAAAAGGCCAGCCTGGTCTACACAGTGAGTTCCAGAAAAAAAAAAAAAAAAAAAAAAAAAAAAAAAAAAAAACCAAAGAATTAGTGGTGAAAGTTTCCACCCAGGTTCAGAACTACAGCTCTCTAAGAAGTCAATAAACACAAAGTAAAAACAACCATCATTTTGGTCAAATTTTTACTATTAATGCAATCGAAACCACACATTTAATGGCTACCCTCTGGTTTTAGAAAATACTTCTGGTTACAAAGGGCGATGTGGGTGGCATTTCTTTATCTTTCAAACTGAGTCACTAGTTCTTTCAACAGGCTAACTTTCAGAAAGCCTGGAGAGTGAGATTCGTGCCTCAGAAGGAAGCTGAACCAATCTATTTTCATTTTTTTGGACACATTAGGAAAGGTGGAGGCTGAGTAGAAAGATATTTTTTCCTGTCTTCCCCACAACTTTTATGGATAGAATTAAGGATGAAAAGAAAATACAGCTTTGGCTGTCCCCTGTTTCATCCCGAGACTGGGGCCAGGCACATTCATTCAAGTTTTTAAAAGCAAAAAAAGAGAAAAATTTTGAAAAGCATTTATAAGACCAAAATAGGACACCTGAGACATAAATCATTAAACAAATTGCCTAAAAGACAAGCATGTAATATCTTTAATATTGCCAAAAGGGATAAATGTCAGCCTGAAATTCTACCTTGTGAAAACATCCTCCAAATGAACATGTGGGAAAAACATATCGCTGTTTTCTTATATCACAGATGTGAAAAACTGATAAAAGAGTAGGTTTTAAGTACTCTTACATCTTAAAGTAAAATTATGGAGGAGAATTAATACATTTGTTAAATAACTCGCTTTAGCCATACCACAATGCAGACACACAGTTTCAGAAAATCTGAATCTGAGCAAATGTGCTCTTGATAGCTAGCCCTTGTGTAGAGAAAATTTGAAGACCTTTACACCAAAAGAAGGTGATACCAGACAAAAATACATGCCTGCACACAAGAGTAAAGAAGTCAGGAATATGAAATATGGACAAATAAAAGTAATGATTCTTTATCCTTTTAGACAGCTATTTAAAAGACAACAAACTGTGCATAGAATGAGGTAGCTGGTCACCATTCAGCACCCACCTTTTTCTTCATCTACTGCTCCAGCTCCACTTGCCCACATGGAGAGAATATAGCACATATCTTTTGAAGTAGTATGCTTATTCTCATACTTACACAATTTCCTTTTTCATAGATCTGCTAGGGTGTAGACTGTTCATCTTCAATACACTCTCAACAGATTTAACACACACACACCACACACACAAACACATACACACACATGCTACGGGTGATCAAACACCAGTAACTCCAGAATGTTCCCTGGCTTCTCTAGGATTTTACAACAATGCATCATTTCATATCAGTGACTCAGTGTCTTTTTCTATAAAATGTGACTAATGGACTAGAGAAATACTTCTCAGATTTGGGGGCCTCATGAAACAATGAAAGAAATAGTATCTAAACCAATTAGAGTTGTCAATACTTCTTTTTGAACAAGAACATAAAATAACCCGTCATACAAACTGTCATCACTAGTTTAAATGTTTTATTAAAAGGAACATTTTAACAATAAATCAGGGTGGAAAACTCAAAATAGAGAAATCCTTTCAATTATAAAAATAAGAAAAGAGTATTAAGAAAATTTCCATAGCATGTTTTGCATTTCACAAACTGACAATCAAAAAATGCAAAATTTTCTAAAATCTCTTTATAAACCTCTGTTCAAAACTTAATGAGTTTTATTCTTTCTGTCATAAATTTTGACCTGTCATTTTATATTGATTCAATATGTTAAATAATTAACAGTATATTCCATTATGTGATTTAATGTAATTTATTAAACATACTATACCTAAATAAATTATATTTTTAAAGAAATAAAAATAATCTTCTAATGTTTGATATAATACCTTTCCACTGTAAATTTTAGGGTGAATTAGGGAGCTATTCAAATGACAGAGCCACTCACATTTAGTGAAACATCATTCTGCTATGCAAACTTGAAAGAAAAGTTGCACTGTGGTAATACCAGTTTTATCTTAAAGACCAAGAGTTGTTTTGCAAATGTGTGGTATCATTTCCTTAAACAGCTCTGGAGAGAACTATTCTTTAGTTCCTCATTTCTACACTTGCAGAGGCCAAAACACCGCACTGGACTGACTTTCCTTGTCCTTTCTCTTTGTGTAAGCACTGTGGAAAGACTTGAGATAGATTTTAATTCACCATGTATGACTATGAAATAGCATTGATCAGTGAGCAAGAGAACTTAGTAAGTTAGAACTCTCTTCATCTTAAGAGACAGAAAATGGAAATGTCATTGGTTTTCTTTACTCATTTAACTATGTGTGACTTAAAAGAAAAAACTTTTTTCAAATTAATGCATGGTTCAGGAAAAGAAGAAACAAGCAAAGAGGCCAAAATGAGGTAAAATTAGAATTGTTTAAGTTGACCTTATGCTTTGAAAAACATAATTGATAAGTATTTGCTAGGTCTTATTTTTAAAATAGTTTGTTGAAGATATTTTGAGTGTACAGCTGAAACTGAGGGGAAAACGTTTTCTAATCTTTTACTTAATTAGGAATAAACATGGCTTCATTTTTTAAATATACAGTAATTTTAGTCACACAAAAGAAATAAAATAATCTTTGCCGAAATAGAATCTCAAATACTTGTCTTTCATTGAAATAAAAGCAAAATGTATTTAATGCACTTTATTGTAATTCCTCCATAAACACAGTATTTAAATAGGACTCATAAGGAAAAGATGCGTGTATTTGTGAATGGTAGATGGATATTTGACAATCCAAACTTCTTCAATAAGCCAAAGAAACTTCATGAGATATCTGAACTGTCCTTAATATACTGCTGGGGGGGGGGTTGTTTTGTTTTGTTATTTGATTGTGGGAGTTTTGTTTGCTTTGTTTTGTTTTTTTTACAGAGCTAAAGAGAAAAGAAATAGGCTAAGTCTTCTCATGCAGAAACCTGACTTCCACGGTGAGACTCACTCCAGTAGATCTGCCCTCTTGACAAGAGAAACTAGGTGCATAACTTCAACTCTTAATGGGGATATTTTGCTGATTTTATAATTAAAGATTTAAGAAAGAGGAATTTAAGGATCTCTTTTTTTTAATTCCATAGTAATATCAGTGATTTCAAGAAACTAAGAATATTTCTAAAGTTCAATATTTTAACAGCTCAAATCAAATGATGACATAAACATTTAAAAGTATTCTCTTATAATTTGTCATCTGTCGATTTTAAATGATATACTTGAATACTCAAATATTAATGTGTTTTCATACTATAAATGTGTCATGAAGGAAAGGATACCCATGTCTCCTCAGTAGTTAGAAAACAATGCCCTATGGATGATAGCAAGTAGGACACAACTGAAGGATGTTTTGTATTCTTAGAATTTCCTTAACTCAGAAATAAAATAACTTTATATATTAGCTGATTATACTTACTCAAATTTTGAATATGTCCAGTTAAAGACAAAATAGCTCAGTTTTTCTATTAACATCAGCAATCTTATTTTTAAAATAGCTTATCATTCTTATCCCCTTGAAACTTCCTTTGTGTTAAAAAATTGCAGCATACTGTGGTTAGAGATTCAAGGAAATTGCATTTAAAAAAGAGTTTGACTGAAAGATACTGTTTAGGTTTTTCTGTTTGCTGAAAAATTTTTAAAAGTATGTTTTTGTACTTTTAAGGTTAATACATAATTGTTTAATTGGAAATAAAAAAATTTACACGTTTGGGGAAACCTTTGATGTTGTTCAACAGACAAAATCCAAATGAAACCCTACCAATGTAGTTGAAAGTTTCCAATGTAAAGACAACTTTGATATTCAAAAATCAAAGGATTAATGTACTGCCACAGCATGGTGTTGTGAAGGGTGTAGTGCTGCAGCATATGTGCAAACAGATTTATAAATTGACTTTCTGCACACCCCATTGTAAAACGTTTTGTTTCCTGAACAGAGTCTCCCCTGAAGAGGCAGTGAAATGGGGCGAATCATTTGACAAACTGCTTTCCCATAGAGGTTAGTGAAATTTTCAGCAAACACTTAATTCTTTAATGGAAAATTAAACAAAGTAATCATGATATTGTACCAGGCAAGTTATCATCAGAATTTTTATAATCAGTAACTTGCAGTAATCTGAGTTTTAGATAAACAGGGGCAATAGGAAAAAAAAAAATAGTCTGCTAATGGAAAAAAATTTCCTAATTTTTTCAATTAATTCAGAATTACTATTGATTAAATGTTATTTCTTTGTATTGCAGTTATTTCATTTAGAAAAAAATCAAATATTTTAAAGATATTTCAGTTTTATTATATATATGCCAAATTATTCATGTTATTTTATCTGTAAATGATCAAAAACTTGAAGCAGTTCTTTTATTGGACGTTGAGGAAACATTCAAGAAAATAGCTTTTAGAACTTTTTAAAAAAATAAATTCTTCACTCTGCTCTTCCTAACCATCTCGAGTTTTAATACAGAATCTTTCAGTGAAGTTGCAAATTAGAGCCATTTTAAGGTAATTTGTTGCATGTTAGATGGAGGATGAGGAGGACTGAGTTCCAATTGGACTCTTCAACACTGAAGTGTGGTTTAGAGGACAGGATTCCAGGATTCATGATCTCTGGTCAGTTTACCTCAAATACAAACAAACCTGCTCCCTTTCCCATGCCTGGATTCTATAATTTATCTAAAATAACAAAACAACAATTTACCCTTAGTAGGTGATGGGAAAACACAGCACTTATTGTTTCCAGCTGAGAAAAAGGCGTTATCACCTGTGACCAGCTGCCAGGGATGGTCAATTCCAGCTTTCCTTTGTAGCCACATCCATACTGCTTCTTACCTTACTCTAAACATCATCATGTCCTAGCTATTTCCCAGACCATTCTAATACAAGGCTGGCAAACCCCTTTTGAGACTGCTTATAGCTAAGCTACTGGGTTTCACACCCTAGAATGTTTAATACCAGTGGTTCCCGTTAACTGGGGAGCTGAAGGGGAATACTTGTAATTCAGCCTCTACCACATGTTTCCTGGGGTGAAACAGCAACTTCCTTTGTCTGCCTATATTTTCTTAAAAAGTTTCCCTCTAATTACTCACCTCTGTAAAATCTTGGTTACCTGTCAATGTATGTAACCCTGCATTTACTGGCATAAGAATTACACTTTTGCAGGGTAGCCCTGAAAACTTTCCCTCTTGCAGTAAAGTGCCTGCTTGTGCATTGTGACATTGACTCAGAATAACAAAAAAAAGTAGGTAGAGAAACCACGTCTTAAATTTGTATAAAGAAGGAATCAAAGTGAAAAGAGAGTATTGGTGAGGAAGGAAGTCTGTGTTGACAAAAATATGATACAAGGTTCCTGTTCCTTCCTCTTTGTTTCACCCTACACTGCCATCACTCTGTAGGGAAGGGTCCCTGAAGTACGGTCTTCAATCTCTTCCTTTCCTCATGCCCAGCGTCCTGTAACTGCCATAAAATTCTTGCTAAACTTGTCAAACCTGTATCATCTTCACTGTCATTTATTTTTTTATTATTTTAATTTAATTGATAGTTAATGATTCCACATGTTTATACAGTAGAATATGTTATTTTAGTACAAGTACACAATGAGTAATGCACAAAACAGGGCAGTTAGTATATGCACAATGCCATTAATTTTCACTGGGAGCATCAAAAGCCTTTCTTCTTTCTATGCTGGACCTGGTGTCACACTCCCATAGGCCCAGTATTCTGTAGGTGGAGGCAGGAGGATCAGAAGTTCAAGGTCAGTCTAGGATATATAGTAAGGTTGAAGTGAGCCTAGGCTACATGAAACCATGCCTTAAATAAAAAGTGCTTTCTTCTGACAGTTTTGAAATATGCCATAATTTATTTTTAACTATTACCCTATTGTACTATAGAACACTGCAAAACAAAACATTTTCTTCCTACATGACTAAGTTTTATACTCAGTCACTACCTGCTTTATATTTTCTCCTACTTGTATCCCTTTCAGTCTTCAGTTCCTCTCTTTACTCTCAGTTTCTATGAGATTATGGTTACTACTGTGCGACCTTCTATATCTCTGAGATAGACTTACTTTTCTTCCACATGTGAAATCATGAAGTCTTTATCGTTCCTTCTGAACTAATTAGCATGCAGTCTTTCATCTCATTCCTATAGCCACAGGTTATATGATTGCATCCTATTTATGTCTCCATAGTGTTCCATTGTGTGTACGTATCACACATCAACTTTTATCCATTGATAAATATCTAAGTTGGTTCTATGTGTTAGATCTTGAATACTGTGAATAAGGTCATCTTTAGTATCTTACTGTCAGTGTTTTACTTTAGGTATATAAAACTTCCTTCATATTTCCAGTTTACAGAATGTGTTCTTTTTTAAATTTTCTTTCATTCAAAATCTGTACATGCTATTGCTTTGTAACAGTGAAAGGAAAAAAAACTAAAAGTTCAGAACTCTTTTTTATAACTGGATGCTGATAATTTGTTAGACAGAACCAGATATATTTTCATCTGTGGTGTCCCACATGACACAAACATCCTGAAAAACATGAAGTGCTAACATATTAAAACTGAATTCATTTCTAGGAAAATTGTGCCAAAGCTCCTTTAAGATTTGAATTCTTGTTTTTGCATCATAATATCATTATATATTCTTAGTTAAGCTCTGTAATCACTTTGACTTTCAGCACCTACAATAGTAGATTCAAATAAAGATTTTATTTCCAGAAAAACAGATTTGTAAGGATTAAATGACACGGTGAATAATAAAGCAATACATGTTGGACACTACACAAATGGCAGAGAGTGTTGCTATCATGGAATATAGCTGTCATCAAATTAAAATAGTCTTTTCCTGTTCCCAGTATGTCAAAAACTAGACACTCAGGAGTTAAATGGGTAGAATTTCAACTTGAAGGTATTTGAACTGGATCTATTACTATATATAATTTAACAAATTGTTATATACCAATTCAATTGTATTGTCATCATCAAAAGTGAATACTTAACAAAGTAATTAGTCCTACAATTATCATCACCTTGTGTTCTGTAATTCTTCTTTACAAGTAGTAAAATTCAAATGAATTAAATTTAACCTTACATTCACTTTTCTCTAATGGTATAAACTATCAGCAATTTAAATTAAAGAGGGTAATGTGGATTTTAAAAAAGACAGCAATTACCTACTTATATAGTAATATCACCTCTTATGGACACAGTATTGAGTAATTATATTGAATTCACAAAAATTATGCTGCTGGTATTATTTTACTAATTTAGCTAGTTCATTGCAATCATAGCATTAACTTATAAAACATCAAATAATGACCTAAGATATTCTGGGTTGTACTATTAAGTTCCATTCGTTTTTGCTGACTTGACTCTATGAGAAAAAAAAATTCACACATACAAACATATACAGACGTATTTGAAAGAAAATGTTATGCAAAAACATGCACACACATACACATATTACAAGTTTCAGCAAAAACCATGCCCTTTTCATTTTTTTAAACTTCTCTTTAATTAAACAAATTGCTTTCTCAAGTTTTGTATGCCATATGTATATAAAAGCAATGAGGCATATTAAATTTAGCCAAATGGGAAATTAAGTTATATATTTAAAAAAGTACAATGGAAATTTGAATAAGATAAGGAGCTATTACAACCAGTGTAGACTGACTAATACTAGAAGTTTCAACAATAGAGCCATAGAATCAATGGCTGCTGTTCTAGATTCAGAGGATTAACACAAATTCCTAGCCAGATGAAGACACCAATCTAGATTTTAGGCATTAAATGTTGAAATTAATTTAGGGAATTAAAAACAAAATATTTCTTAACTTCAAAATGAAACTTAAATGGAGGAGAGTAGATAAGAATGACAGACCCACCAGACTATAACAGAAATATCCCTGGATTTTATTGTATTCCACAAAAATCAATGAATTCGAGGAGATGCCTTGATAATATTCTTATTCCAATTTCATAACATACTTTAATTTTTAAAATTTAAAAACACAGCAAAAGAAATATGAATATAGTGTGGACTTTTAGATAATCTACTTAAATGATTCTGTTATTTTTAACATGTATAACATTAATAAGCTTAATTAGTAACAGCAATAATTAAATGTAGGCTCTTGGAAACTATGCACTTCAAAGCGTTCAATAAATCTAAATGTTTTCTAAAATAAATTTTTTTTGAAGGGGAAGAATTGCTATTTTGTTTGGGGTTTTTTGAGACAGGGTCTGCCTGTAACCCCAGCTGGCTGGAACTCTCTATATATAACAGGCTGGCTTGGATTTCAAAGAAATTCACCTGACTCTGCCTCCCAAGCGCTGGTATTAAAAGTGTGTAGCATCATGCCCATCTCAAAATGTCAATTTGGAAAAAAAAAGCTCAACAGTGTATTGTAAACTTTAGCACAATTGAGTCCAACAACTTCTGTTTCTCACTTGTTTTTATAAATATTGGGATTACTTTGTCCTTAGTCTTTATTTATTGAGAAATTTCTCTGAAGTTGAAAAAGTGAATAATAAAAATCTATAATATAATATGCTCAATGTGTGTCTTCTGTAGTGTGAGAAGGTGAAAGAAAAGGTGACAAAGGAAAGCCATCAGTCACCAGATTTCATTTCCCGGTTAATAGGAAGATAATGCTTCCTGTTTCAGATAAAGTGCAGAAGATGAGACGTGGAAAGTAACAGGTTACTGAGTGAGATTTATCGGAAGTTTCTTAGAGTTTTGTGGTGTAACCCCAGAACGTGAAAGTGACTTTGATATATGGATATAGATATATAGATAGGTGTATTTTTAAACATCTCACTAAGCTGATAATTGGATATTTGAATGACAATGTTACCTGTTATGAGGGGAGTCTCTATCAGTTAGGAAATCTTACTGATCACTCTTTATTTTCATGTACATGATTTTCCATAGTCATTGGAAATAATCACAGTGTTTTTCAACTTTTATCTTGATGACTACTTATTTTACAATTTTATACT